ACGACGGAGGTGAGGGGCTGCTCCTGGCAGTGGCCTCCTGTATTGATTGGAGACATCTGACGACCTGCCCAGCACCTTGAACTGGTGGCCTGCCATCCCCTCTCAGGCTTTTGATTCAGTCTTCATCCTCACCTTTCCCAGCGTCAGCCTCAGAAGGCCCCAGATCCGATCTCCACATCTGCTCCCTGAAGAACAGCTCTGCAGCTCTGGGGCTGAAAGCAGTACCTTTTCCCAGCTGTTTCCTTCCCACCTAATTTAAGTGCAGGGTTGTATCTTGTTCTAATCAATAAGCGGGCATCGGAAGGTTACACACCTTCCAGCTCCACCAGGTAATATCTCAGCAAGGTCAATCATTTTTATAAGCCCTCATTTAAAATGCAGGAGAAGAGTGATGGCTACCAACCAGACCTGTAATGCATCTCCTGTTCTAGCTCTTCTCTTTAAATTGATAAATTTTTTTTTAAGTTCAGGGGAAAACATCAGTACAAGCTGCCGGCCAGCACAGAGCGGCCGCCTGCAGTAGATCTGTAGGGAAGGCTGGAGAAAACCCGCTGTCTTCCTGCAACACTGTTTCTGGACAAACTCAGGTCGGACTCACGACTCATAAAGCAGACGTGAAGGACACCCAGACAGGCTTGAGGACACTGACAGGAAGAGGGCTCAGTGCCCTCCTTCCCGGAGAGCCCACCTGTGGGTCTAGCAGGGTGTGCTGGCTGTTTCCTGGTCATGAGTGATAGCCAGGGGACAGAGGTGCTGTGCCCCTGAAGGCCGTGGGGTGGGTGGGGGGCTGGGGATGATTACCCTTGCTTGGCTCCCGAGATAGTCTTTCAGTTTTAAAGGGCTGTCTCTGGTGAGGGCCCGAGGTAATGATGTTATTCCCTTCCTTGTCATAGTCTGACTGCCCCCACTGGAAGGCACCCGGCACAGGGGTTCCGTATCCAGGACACAGTGGGGACATGATTAATTCACCCTGTGGGGCCTTTCCCCTACCTCTCTGGAAGGGCTTTTAGTAGAGGCCCTTTTCAAAAAGGATCAACAGAGATCCACAGATGCGAGCATCCTTTCTGAGGCTCTGTAATAGAAGTTATAAAAAACTTACTTCTAGCCAGCAGGTTTAAAAAATGCAGATTTTACTACTGTCATGCAACTGGATTTCATAGCTACAAGCTAATAGCTGTGACAAAGGAATTGTTAAAGTGTTAAATATTTCATTTAAAAGGGAACATTGCAGTCACTTTAAAAAGAAAACTCAGAACTCATCTGTTGAAAACCGCAGTCTGTGAGACCGCACAGGGAGGACGAGCTGAGATCCACACTGTTCACACGGAGGGGCTGCCTTGCGTGGGCGTCCACATCACAGGGTCAGGCCCTTCCCCGGGGAGGGGACTCGCCGGGTGCCCGGGGAAGCCCGCACCCAAGCCTGTCAGAAGAGGCACAGAGGCCCTGGCCCCTGAAGCCTGTCCAGTCACACTGCTAGGAGGGTCTCCATGAGCGAAGGGCTTAGAACACGTGGAAAGTACCGACACACACTCTGAATCTGAAAGCCAATCTGAGTTTTCTGTAGGTCTGCTTTTCTTGAACTCATTGTGAAATACTGCTTTGGCAAAGCGCTATTTTTACCATTCTAACTGCTTTTGCCACTGACCTCTAAGGCTACTTTAAGACATATATTATACAAAGAAGCTAAATTTTTTAATAAATAAATATAAAGACATTAGGAAGTGTTAATAGAAAGTAAGTTTAAATGATATTTCATTATGAAAGAAATGTTAAGTAAAAATTTATTTCAAGAATAAATGCTTCACCACATAACTATTTCTTGGAGAAAAATAAACTCAAAATAAACAAACTGACCTTTGCAAGAGGTTTATAGGGAGGACTTGACCTTGTGCTACAAGACTGCTAGCTCTTGATCAGAGTGGCTAGAAAAAACGATTCTGTGGACACTTTTAATAAACAAGATTAGCAAAATCCAAAAACTAAAAAACACAAAAAAGGAAACTTTTTTTTTTTAAAGAAAAGGCCCTACTACTAAAACAACTATCTCATGAGAAATTACAATACATCTTATTCAACAGCTCACCATTCAATTTAACTTCTTCAACGGCATGATGAACCCCCTCCCACGAACTGCAGCCTCCCTCTCCCAGAGAAATCCTGTCTGTCCTGGCCCAAGAAAAAGGCAGCCCCAGAGATGTCCAGAATTCTGGTCAGCAAGGGCAGCTTAACAGTTCCTTGGTAGACATACCCAGATCATTAACTTGTTACTTACCAAACTTTGGAAATTCTCCAAGACAAGAAGTTGAACCACATGAAATCTCCAATATTCGATGTTTTAACCTACAAAAATGGCAATTTCATATGGTTCAAGCTAGCAAACATTTTTGTGACTAGCCTTAAAAAAGGAACAAATGGGGAACCAGTATGCTCACCTCACAGAAGGATTCTGAAAAGGAAAGGTGGTCTTGCCACGCACAGAGGGGCTTTCAGCAGCAGGACAGGCCATGCTTGGGCCTGAGGGAGAGAGAGCGGAGGCCTGGACAGAGGGGTCACGAGTATCACAGGTAAATGTGCTGGAACTCGAGCATCACCTCACTTACAACTAGTTTTTGTAAAACAAGTTGAAATGGGTAGATCTAGTCTAAATCTCAGAAGAATATGATGAAAAAATGATATGCAAAAGTATGTTAAACATGTTCAAAAATTAGTATGCACAGAAAATAGAATTTGTCAGGGAGGCATTTATTGCATGTTAAAATGGACCCACTCCTCCCCATTCTTTGCGTTAATCCACAGCTTCCAGAGCGCTGAGGCTGTCGGAGGATTTTCCTTCTGTGGGACTTTCTCACTCACCGTGACCTCATCAGCTACCAGATACAAAGCAGAAAGAGAGCAGAGCCCACTACCGCTGCACAGAAAGAGGGCGTCACCACATCTGGGGGTTAGTGCCAATTAACTCCGTGTTAGCAATTGTATTATAACCATCAGCCACCTCCCTTCTTAAACCATAAAATCCCCACACCTGGTGCCTGCTCCAGAGTAAGTGATTGAGCTAAATTAGAAAAACCTGGCTTGCACATGCTGAGGCGTGGGAAATCCCAGCCCGACGGCAACCACTGTCAGCAGGTGGGCCTGGCCCAGGGGACCGTGCCCCCAGGAGGGTGCTAGAAGCTGCCCCCCGCCCCAACCTAGCTGGAGGGGACCTCAACCCGCTCAGAAGCGCCTGACAGCACTGCGGGGCTGGTCCTACAGGAGGAGGGCTACTGGTGTGGCTGGGTGGCCTTCCTCCTTACCCCAACGGCTGTTTCCAGCTTGTCCTGGTCGCCCTGATGGACCATGACCACGACCAGCTGGTCAAGGAGACATCTTGGCCTGGTGCAGGCCCAGAGCCAGGAGGCAGGGTAAATGGCCAATGCCAACTCTCTTCAAGGCCTGAGGACGGGACTTCAGGATTTTACAGGCTCACTCCCCTCCCACTCCCATTAGATTACAGATACCTTCTGCCCTGGTTTTAACTCTTCTGTTCTGAAAATTTCAAAACCTTAAATTCTAGCTCACTGATTTGGTAGACTGAAAGAGAAGGGAAGCCAGCTGGGCAGTTCTCTCTGGCTCCTTGGCAGAGCAGGAATCCCCAAATGGCAGCAGAGGACAGAGGAGTTCACTGCTCCGAGATTCCCAAGCCTCTACTTTAAAAACAAACCACATCTCCAAGCTCCTCATACCGAACAGCAAGACCCCCGCCCTGTGCCTGGCACACAGGAGTGCACAGTGAGCAGAGTCACCCACACCCTCAGCTTAGCCCATCACCTCATGGCTGGGAGAGGGGGAATCCGAGCAGGCAGCGAGCGCTGGGCAAGGGGGCAGCCAGCAGCCATAGCACCACCTCGGCCCTGTGAGGGCCCCATTCACACACGCAGATGATGGAGGGTCCTGGACATGTGTAGAGCCTTGTGTAAAGGCCCACTCCAGCTCCCACACCCCATTCTGGAGCCCCCACTGAAAGAAACCTTCTGTAGACAGTTCTAGATGACACAAGGGGCTAACAAGGCACCCTGTTCATGACGGTTGTATACTTTCAGCTCATTTTATGTGCAAAAAATATTCAAGGTTCTATCTGTTCGTTTGTCTGACCTTGTTAGTCAACTCAGGTATCAGGTGAACTTGCAGGAGTTACTCTGCCTCCTTCCCCTGAAAACTCTACTCTCTTTGCAAGTTTGTTTCTGCTAAAAAGGATACCAGCAAAATACTATTAAACTTATTTAGTAAATTCCATTTTCAAATTCAAGACTGCTTTAAATTTACCTTACCTAAAATCTCAGGGTAATTTTTTTCCTTAAGTATATGTACGTGTACATTCACACATATCTATCTGTCTATAAATACTCATTTATATTAAAAAAAAGAATGTCTGGGAAAATGTTTTTAGGTTATCACAGACTTCGTGTGCCTTTAGCATACTACATTTAGGCAACAAGATCTCAATTCATCTTTAAGAATATAATATCTAATTATGGTAAGTTTGATAAATTAAATTGAAAACTTATCTGAGAAGACGCAAAGCTGCTACCCACTCTGATGGAAGTGTCACCAACTGAGTTTATGGAAGTGGCTAATTGTCCATGTACAAGGCTCATTTTCTGTGCTGTTGGCAAGCAGATAGTTTAAGTTAACAATAAGCTTATTGAAAAATTTACTGCCATTCAGATGTGTTCCTATTTAAACCTTTCAGCCAGCAAGAGTCAAGAGTTGATCTGCATGCATCATTTTTATTGCCTTTGCCAAGAATTATGTGACCATTTGCCAAAACTAACACAACCATTTGGAATGGGTGGAGATGGAGAACTCTTGTCCTTACAGCGTGGCCACATGCTGTCTCTGTTTATATGATGTAAAAATACCACGTTGGTACAGTCAATAAAATGAGCTGTGATGTAATGTAAGTGATAGTTAATAAGTCAAGCTCCCTGAACGAAACACTGTGAGACGGCTGAGTTACCGACCTTGCTGGAAAATGGGATGGTGAAGAGCAGGCAAGGGGAGTTCTTTGAGGACCGCAGGCTCGTGGAAGTAGGCATCCAGCCAGGCTGTGCACTGCATCAGGGGCTCCGCCATGTCCTCTGGACTACCGAGAGGCTCAGGAGGAGCAGGGGCCTCTACGGGGCTGCAAAAGTGATAACAGGAGCTTAATAAACCTGTAGCCTCTTCCTCCCCACATCCGAACAGCAATCACCTACTGCACCTACATGGGTAAAAGTCTGTAGCTGTTTCATAGGTACGTGTGTCTCAGTTAGCGTGCAAGAGGCGACACAACCGCAGAAAGGTGGACAGGGTGAGGACGAGGGCGAGGGTGCCTGGGAGTCACTTCATCCACGCCTCCACCTTCAGCTTTAAAAAAGAAACCTACCTTATTTTTCTTTTTTTAGTTTTTATTTCCTATTTATTTTTTTAAGTTAATTTTTGTAATGAGGTCACATTGGTTTATAACATTATATAAATTTCAGGTGTACATCATTATATTTCAACTTCTGTATAGACTGCACAGTGTTCACCACCAGAAGTCTGGTTGCCATCCATCACCATACACATGTGCCCCTTTACAACTCATCTTTGAAAACAAGGGGCGATTCCTAGGAAGGAACGTTTCAGTACTTGGGCTCTTCCCATTTGGGGATCTAAACATTTGCAGTCTGCTGTGAAGCAGGATGTGATGGAGCAACAATGACAAGCACAGAGGCAGGTGGGTATGTGCCTGCCCCTGGATGAACAGATGTCAATTTGCATCTATTTTCATCTCTAAAATCACCAAGTATTCATTATTGAAAGTATTTTCCAGAAATACTATTAGAGTAATTAGACTGCATCATCACCCTGCCACCTCCCACCAACTTTGAACAACAGAATAGCAAGTCCATACACTCTCCATCGCTTTGTGCTGCCTTCTAGGGGATTTGGTCCACTGATTCTCAGGCTTCAGAGTATCTGACTGAGTGCAGGTCATTCTGAGAGCTGTGATCCCCATTACCGTCTATGACTTTTATGCCCAGATTGCTATTTGCTTCTTTTTCAAATCTTCTTGTTTGTCTATTATGGTTGCTACTCTCTCTTTTATCTCTTTAAGTTAAAATCAACATATTTTAGATTCGCTTCAGACAGCTGTGTTGTTTTTTCTACTCGAGTGCTCAATCTTCTGTTTGTGGGATCTGTAGCTGCCCCTCAAGGAACTGACTTTCTCGTCTTCAGCAGGGGCTGATTCTCTGGGATGTGCTCTGCTAGACAGAGACAATGTCCCTATGGAGGGGGTTCACTTTTGTTGCTTCTCAGCACTAGAGTTTTATGATAGATCTAGTTTTTATTTCAGTTTCCTAGGACCTACAGAAGCGCTGGCCCCAAGTCTGATTTCTTCAGATGACTTTCCTTCCCTACCTTCCAAGACCCTGGACACATGACATGCTTCCTTGTGGCTTTCCAGTCTTGGCAGGCAGAGTTTCCCTAGCTTCCTTTTCAGATACTGCAGCTTTTGAGGCCTTTGGGGGAAGACGGAAAAGCCACTGCGAGGTAGGTGCAAGCAGCTCTTGCTGAACCCTTCACACCTTCCTTCCCGAGTCCGGGGCGGGGGGGGGGCTGGTGCGTTTCCTTTAATCCACAGGCTGCCTTTCTTCAAAATGCACTCACTGCCCTTCTGAGGGACCAAGCGAAGTGGAGAGGCCACCACTCAATTGGCAACGCGGCCCAGCACAGGAACAATGGGTGTGGCGGAAGCACCCAAGAGCACAGGCTGACTGTGCCTGCGTGGGGAGGAGAGAGACCCTAGTGTGTGCAGGGCCGTGCGGATCCAGAAATGTGTGTACTTCATCCCCCAGGCAGTGGGGAGTAGGTGACAACCTTCGCACAGGGCCTGGTACACAGTCCTGTGCTGGAATCCAGGCCTCTGCGTCATGGGGCCTCGTAGGTGTAAGGGTCTCCACCGAGGTCCTAGGGCGGAATGCACGGGGGTCCCTTTTACAGCTTTCACAAGGGAATGGGAGGTGGGTCAGGGATGGCTGTCTAAGCTGTCAGTATAAACAGCGTTAAGAAAGGAACCAGGGAAGCAATGGAAAAAGAAGAAACGAGCCCCAAGATGACCAGGCAGAGAGGGACAACAGAGACCCAACTCCCGCAGAGCTGGCTAGAGTCAGGCGATCCTGCCAATGACACAGCTGGACGGAGCCGGCCCAGGCCTTCTCCAAGCGGCCGCCTTTGCTAGATCTCGGCGAGCGGGAACCGCATGGACAGGGCCCTTGGTCAGCCCCAACCCCGAATCAACAGGGCTCTTGTAGGGCCCAGTCACAAAGAGGCCTCACAGGATTCGGGCTCACTCCACAGGCAGGGGACGGGGCCTGTGGACCAGGTGACAGAATGACCTCTCAGAGGCATTCCTGGGGATGGAATGTTGTCTTCTCATCACCCTGATTTCTCTCTCCATTAGTGACATCTGGTCATGGAAAGGAGAAGTGTCCCCTGCTTGGCTTAAATATTATTCAACTTCAGGGAGAAATTCTCAGTCACTCTATTCTCACTCTGTTCCTTACTTACTGAATAAACAGGGTACTGGTGATATCTAAAAAGAAAGGTGGAGAAATATGTCACGTGCTTTGCCGTCCTGCTCCCAGGGGATGGAGGGGTACTAGCACTGAGGGTAAGCTAGAGCTCCGTCCAGACAGGGCAGAGGACACGCAGCCCAGTGGGCACCTTACTGTCAACTACAGGCTGTGAGCAGGCGGCCATCTCCACAGGACGCCTGCTCGAACAGAGCTGATGTGCCCACGTCACGGTTCTCGGCCTGCGGGGGGAGCTTCCCTCCCAAGGACACGCGAGAGAGGAACAGGGACCGCCTCAAGACCCTGTGCTGAAGCACCTTGGCCTGGCGCCCACCCCAGAACTGGCTGGGGTGGGGGTGCTGGTGGAGAACACACCCAAGGCCAGCACCTCAGAGGCCACAGTCGGTGGTCAGGGCTGGTGGGGTCTTCTTGGCCACCCCCACAACAAACGGGGTGCCTCGGGTAAGGAGCATACACCACGGGAGATGGGCATCCTCCACCGAGAGGCAGGGCTTCTGCACCCACCAATGGCCTGCTTTGCTGTGACAGTGACGACTCCTTCCTCAGACACCCCTGAGTGGAATGGGGTGGGCTCGGGCACCCTGAGACACTGCCACAGTGGCGGCCACTTCCTCTGCGGTGCTGAGGGAATTGAAAGGGGAGCTGTGTTTCCTAGCATTCCCCACTCTTAAAAGGATATTTGAAGAATTTTTATAGTAGTAAAATTCATCTTAAATTGATTTTTTATGCTTGTGCTAAAGATCTCAACCTCTGATTTACTCTGTAGTTCTCCTTTTTAACTCTTTCTCTATTGGCATTAGATAACTATTCATGGGTGAAATGTAATTAAACAGCTTTGATTCTGAAGCAAGGATTTATGAGCTTACATTTAAAATGAATGGCATTAAACACACACATAAAACCAGATTTTTAAAGCCATGACACAAATTTCCATTTCTACAATAAAATGAAATTTATTCTCTGCCCTGCCCTCTCCTCCAACCTCGCTTCGCTTGTCCCTGAACAAGCCGTGGTGTGACAGTACCACAGCATCACTGACGGCCGCTCTGATTATGGGGGAGTTTCTCCAGGCTTCCTTACCGACGAACCCTGAAACCCCAATCATTACGGGCTCTGTGGCCCACGCTAGTTTAAATCCCACATCTGAGTCCTCCCTGGGAGCCCAGCAACTCACCAGCCACTGAAATGCAAACACCTGTGGCCAATCCCAGTCTCCAGGAAAGCACTGTGGTGTGGGGGCCCAGACAGTGCAGCCTGGGCACCCCCATGAAAGCAGCCGACAGCCAGCACTGCAGATGGAGACAAGACCTCGTCCCGAAATCGGCTGGGATGATGCAGACAAGGGACATCAGAGTCTATCTGCCCAAGACCTTCTCCCAGGATGTCATTTGTCACCAGTAAGAGTATTCCTGAGGCAGATATCCTGACACCCGAGCCCTTTCACTTCTTTGTTTTAACTTGGCATGAGAGGGCTGACTAGTGGCTGGAAAATGAATCTGCCTTTGTTGAGCTTTTCTACATATGACAATGGAGAGCACTGGGTACCTGAATACAGCAAACATAAAGTCGCATGTGGTTTGGTTTAAGGGTTTCTTCAAAAAATATGCAACTGTTGGCAATCTCAGGGATTACTCTAAGAAGAAACAGGATGACAGCGCAGCGCCGTTAGGGGAAGCTCCCAGAACGTGATGTGTCGGAAGGTGCCATGACATTCTCGTGGAGTTGTGGCCTGTGAAAAGCAGCCCTGACCCCTTCCCTTCGTGGGCTGGAGAAAGAATGTTCCGGTGTTGACCTGTATTTCAGATTTGTTTTGATATAAACCCGTCCTTCAGCACAAACCAGGGTATAGAAAAGTAGGTGAAATGCTCCAGAATAAACTTCTGAAATGTTTCTAATAAAGCAGGCAGCGATGCCTTACCTAGATATACCAACGGAGAACCCACAACTTCACAGCCTTAGACACATGAGCATAGAAGTTATCCAAAGAAAAACTGTGCTTCCTACCTGCAAGAAGCTCGCATTTCAAGACACTGACGTTAGTGAGAAAGGGAAGGGACAGCATGACACCCAGGGAAGCTGAGAGACTAGAAGGTGACAGTGCCAAATTTAAATGAAATGGCCCAGAGGACAAAGGCCCATCCGCATGGCAAGTTCTGCCGAGCGAGCTCAGGTCGGCCCTTCCCACTAGGTGTGTGATCAGCGAGGCCGGCCAAGCGCTGGGCTCAGGCTGGTGGAAGCCGGGCTCTCGGCAGCAGGGCGCCCGAGAGCCAGGAACTCGCCAAGGGCCAGCGTGAGCCGCCTGCAGTGGGCAAAGTGTGCCAGGCCCCCTAGAAAGCACTGCTCAAGGTCTAAAACTGCATCAAGTATCGTTGTGAGCCCGGCAGGACATGAGGAAAGCTGTAGGCGCATTCTCAGCATCATGTCCTCTAGGCTCCTCCCACATGACAAATCTGCTCAACACTTTAAAACTAAACTGGCTTGGCACGAGATTCGGGGATTCAGATTTTGGGGCACCTCAAGACTTCACTGGCAGTAAAGAATCACTAAATCCTCAATTCTGAAT